TAACAACATATTGTTGTGGAGAAGCGTGTTTGTGACTTAGATTCTCGTTTGATCAGTTTGACAGCTATTCATTCACTAGTTTTCTCCTGTCTGCGAACCTCATATCCAAGATGCCCCATGTGCTGACAAGTTAGTTTGGCAGGTTTTGACTTGGTGTGTTCATCATGATCTTTTCGGTATTGGGTTTCAAAAAAATTTCATCTTTATCATCGACGTAAGTCGAGATGCATTGGCTACAAACTCATATGCGGGTGTGCTTTTGGCATCAAATTGACAGACGTCAAGACAATGAGAACGCAGACCAATACCTCTCTTTACACCATCTGCTCAGACTCTTTAGTGCAACAGATTTTTGACAATATACTTGTGTGATCAGTGCTGGAGTTAACACTATATGAACCAAATTACAAGGAAAAAGAAGTAAATCTTTCTGTTCTGTCTTCCCTTGCTAGATTTGTATGGGTCTGCATGAAATATATTCATATGCGGTATTGACCAAAAGTCAAAGTTCGGCCAATATCCGGCCAATATCCAGATGGCTGGATATTGGCCGAATTTTGTTGTTGTGTTTTTATGGACCGTGACGAAGTCGAGGTCCATAAAAACGCAGAAAAACAAAAAGGTAAATATCCAGCTATCTTGACCGAATAAGCTTGGTCAATAGAGAACATATGTTCCACAGTCGATCTCAAGTTGTTATTTTATTTTTGGTCTTCATCTCTTCAATCTCATTTGCGAATTGAAAACGTAAATTGGCCACCGTAAAGAATTTAAATGCTGACGTTTTGAGCTTTAGCCCTTCGTCAGGGCGATTGGAAGAATTGAGGGTTGTGAATGGGGTTATATGCAGAAAATGAAGCTACACTATCAGTGGGAATATGGTGACGAGAAAACGAGAATAAATTGGTTGAATGAAAAGCGTTCGTTGATACCGTGGGGGATTAGAGGGCCCATTTGGAAGATAAATTTTTGTTTTAGAGTTTTGCAGCTTTCCAAACTGCCTAGATGTAAGGAGAGACCGAAACTGCCATATGCTGTTGAGAATTATTAGGGAGATTTAAGTGTCTAGGGACTGGTTTGGATGCGTCCTTGTCATTTCTTTCTACGTTGCAAAGGTGTTTTCGGAATCAGTCATCTGACTGTGATATATGGAGAGGTATTGGTCGGCGCACTCATTGTTTTGCCAGCTGTCATTTTGATGGCAATAGTTCATCAGCACAACGGTTTGCAGCCAATGCTTTTCGACTTAAGAGTAGCAAATAAGAAGGCGTTGATTGATATCAGCGAGCCCGCAATGTGACATGAATACTGGTCAGAGTATTTTTTGATGCAACAGCTGTCACTTTAACATCTCAATGGCTGTGGTCGCACTACAGAGTTTAATCACGATTAAGGCACCTCTAATCACGATTTAGCTAATTCTCAAGTGCAACCCCAAAATGTGTCCATTCGAGATTACGGCCGACAAGGATGTAATTGACACCACGAAGAGGCAGACTTCAAACACCTAAAGCGCATTTTAAAACGTCTAAAAAAGTAGGATTGATCCTGAGATGTATCTAAAGCTTGTAAGTTAGGCCAATCATGTGCTGGCACAAAAATTAATGTTACACAGGTATTTTAATGCACGTGCTTTTTCCTCTAAGAAATACTTATTATCCTGTCGAGCAGAACTCTGAAATTTATTGTACGATAGTAGAAAATGTCGGAACAGCCAGGTAGTTGAGGATACGCATCCAAAGAGGAGGTAGGCACACAAATTCGTAGACGTTTCCATTAAAAAATAAAACAAGGATTGATTTTGCTAATCTCCCGCTCATCAGTACTTGGCAGCTAGGAGCGTTGTTCACCATGAGAAATCGTATGGGGGAACCCGAAACAGGAGTGCCAACACGTTACTGTCTGACCTCTACTCAAGACCCAAAGCCTCAATTTTACGCCGCCGCAAACTATGGCTGGTTCAGTTCAGCAGATCAACTTTTAACCTGGACTGCTAATTCGCCTTTGGCTGGCCAATTGCGACCTTTTTCGCCCCCGAGTTCCAGCTGGTTGGCAGTGGAGTCCGGTACAGCGATTTCATCCAGCCCAAAAGTCCCAGAAATATCCGGCTGCAGAGTAAAATGGGGCGACGAGGAGAGGAAAATTCTTCTACAGATTTGGGCTGAGCATTTTCTAGACTTAAAGAAGAAGAGGACAAAGGCTGTCTGGGAGAAAATTACGCTAGATCTAAAAGAGCTATGTAAAGATCTTTCGGAATTTTCTCCTAAGAGCACCAGTCAAGTTAAAACTAAAATGAAAAACTTACCGATGCATATGAGGACGCGAAAACGAAAAATTCACAAACGGGAAATGCGAGGGAAATCAGTCCCTATTTTGAGGTAATCGATGAGGTTCCGGGCACAAGAGAGGCGACGCGTCCCACCCATGTCCTTGAAGTCAGCGATATGGCTCATTTACACCACCAAAGCGGTAGCCCAGCCTCATCCACATCGAGAAGTGAAGGTGAGGATGACTCCACGGGCATGATAGACAACTGATATGAAAGCAATGTGGATGAAGAGGAATTTCAGCAGTCCCTTGAGCTACTCATTAAAAACCCAAACAAGCGAAAGGCCACTGAAAAGAAAGCTGGAAAGGAAGATGCCGGGCATGACGTTGATGCGAGCGGCAAGAAAAAGATGACAGCACCAAGAAGCCCAAAATAAGTAGGGCACAAGATATGTTCAAAGCGTTTTTACAGGAGAGTAAGGAGCACGACACAGAAATGGTGGAACAGATGATGGCACGCGAAAGGGAGATGCAGGCTGCCGAACATTCCCTCATGCGTGAGTTTATGGGCTCACTTACTCAACTACTTAAAAAGGACTAAAGAACTTCTGCGTTTTGACTTTTTTAAGTTCCTGTTTCGAGAAAAGAAATGTTTACATTGAATCATTGGCGGGTTTTCAAATAACATAGTACAATAGCACAATCACATCAATGATAGAAATGAAATGGTAATTATTTTCTGAAAAAATATTGGAAAAAATTGTCATCCAATATTAATATTTTTTCTTATTACCATATTTTTAATTATTTCAGTTTGAAAGATTTTGTTTTCGATTGTTGCAGGTTGTTCGTATACCGTTTTACAGAATAGTGTACAAGGGTTGCTCAAGACTTATCTCAATTAGGCATAAACTTACTCATAGTTTTGATCCATCTGAAAGTACATTTGCGTAAAGAGGGCGACGCATCAAAATGTTATTGTGAAGAATGTTTGTCAACTGCCTGGTTTACAGAAAATCCCTTATTATGTCACGCACTCTCTTTCCCTCGTGACGTTGAGGATTTAGGGGAGGAGGTAGTGTGAAGGGAATACCAATTATATTTGGTTGATCATCTAGTCGATCCCCTATATACGGGGATTTTCACCCAAGCGTTTACTCAGACAACGCCAGCGCCCTTGGAGTTCTCCAAACCCCTGTTCAACTTTCACTCTTGTTCTGCAGCGGGATAGATTTAACCTTCGTTCAGGATTCAGCATTCTCTGGATATGGCTTTAATAATTTCTTGGAAAGAGGATAGGCTGAAGCACCAAGCAAAAGAGGTGGAGTATTGTACTCACCAATTCGGCGTGAAGGCTGAGTTAGAATTTCACCCCTCTCAATTCTCTCAAAGAGCTTGTTGTATCTATAAACGCGAGCATCATGTATACTGCCGGGACATCCTACGCTAACGTTCAAACATTTTCCATTTGCATCCACTACAGCTTGGGTAACAACACTGTAAAAACGTTTACGGTTGTAATAGTCCTCCCGATCCTTACTTGGCCCTTTGATTGGTATGTGAGTCCCATCTTTTAAACCGACAACTTGAAGAAAATTGGCAATTTCTTTAAACACATCGATATGTTCTCGTACATCATTATTGACATAGGGAAGAAAAAAAATATACCAAAAGATAAGCCATTCAGGGCTCCTGTGACCTCATCCACGATTTCTATTGCTGTTGATTTACCACATCCAAACTGCAATCCACAGCTATGGTAGGAATCCCCAGTTGCAAGACGCCAAAGTGAATGGCCACGCGCTTGGGTACAGGTACAGCATCACGCATTCTGGTGTTTTCTTTCGATATTTCAGGGCCAATTTTTTCCACTATGGCTTGAAAATTCCTTTTGGAAATTCTAAGATGACATTTCCATTCATCATCAAAGTCCTGATCTATCGTTGAGTTACGTCTTAAACCACTGTTGGGGAAGAGGAAAAACCCACGCGACTCGTTCCGCTGGTGTTGAAATAAACAAAGCTAACAGAGAACAAAGTCTACGTTGTTGGCTCAAGAAAACATGCCAAGCTTTTTGAGACGACGCGAACATGCTTTTGCAATGGCCCTCCAAAAAAGATAAAAGGCAACGAGGACAAGAACAATTTGAATTTGATTAGCCATGCCAATATCTAAATTTATGGAACGGCTAAGTCAAAAATAATGTGCGTTGTGAAAGAAAAGCAATCATGCGTGTTGTGATGCTGCTCTGATATGACAGGTTTTCCTATCTCTTTTTACACCTTGCTAAATCGCGATTCACAATAGCCCTATCTTAAATCATGATTAATCGGACTTAATCATGATTGCGATCTCTTGTGCGACTACAGCCAATGTGGAAGTCCGCTATAACAATGCACTGGCGGAGTTAAACGATTGCATTGGAGGCTTATTACACCTAGGACCAAATGTTATTCCGTTTAGAACTTTATTACATTTAGGACCAAATGTTATTTTATTTAGGACTTTGTTACATTCAGGACTGTTATCACATCTAGGCCTTCAACTTCCCTTCAACTTGACTTGTACTGAATGAAGTTTGAGCCTCCTTATACAATCAGTAATTGGTTGCTGGGGACTAATTGCTGGATGCTTTTGTTTATTGTATTGTAATTGGGTAAATTTCTAAGACTCGCTCTAAGTAAGATTTGCTACACCACATGAGGAATGATAAAATATCTCTAACCTTTCAGAGGCACCACTTATAAAGCTCTCGTTAGGAGGAAAACATTACATTGAGGGATCCCCTGTCACCATAGCCTGTGAAGCTTCTGGGAAACCACTGCCGGATGTAGCATGGATTAGAAATGGAGAACTGGAAAGTTCAGGGAATAAAGCTGCGATTTTAAAGTTCGATAATATCAACAGAACAGATGCAGGAAAATACACATGTCAAGCCAATAACTCAGTGGAAGTCACTTCCATTGACACAACAATTGTAGTTCACTGTAAGTATATTTTTACCTTAGTTTTTGACTGTGTTTAACTCATTGTGACAACTCAAAATTCACTCCGTTTGACTTATGCAGAAGGCTAGCGCATATTCCGATTCTGTGTAAGGGTGAGGCTAATGGAAAGCTAAGAATTGGTCAAAATTCTAACCGTTTGCTGAGAAATTACATGGCTTTTTTTTTTTACTGATAGCTAAGATCAACCGATAGATGCAAAACTGGGCTGAAACAGCATGCGTAAAATTGTGCACATATCTGCATGTGTGGTGTCCAAAGAGATATACTATTTGAGGGCGAGAATCCATTTTACGAATACAGAAACGATCATCGCAGTTATGTACACTACTAAACTAGTAGTTGAAATAAGGCCTGGAAAAAATTCATTTGAACCCATGACCTCTGCGATACTGGTGCAGTGCTCTACCAACTGAGCTAACAAGCCAACTGGGAGCTGGTCATCATTTTGTTTCAAACAAACCTTCTATGTGGTGAATAATGACTGTAAATATATGAAAATCATATAATGATGTACACTGCGGTTGAAGAAATGAACATAGAAACAATTCTGGCTGTTATGAACACTAATGGAGTAGTTGTTGAAATAAGGCCTAAACAAATTTAGGCCCATACGGGATTTTAACCCATGACCTCCGCGATACTGGTGTAGTGCTCTACCAAATGAGCTAACAAGCCAACTGGGAGCTGGTCATCGTGTTGGTT